AAAAAAAAAAAAAAAATTAGAGAGTGTTAAGAAAATGTTATTGTGGGGATAAAGGGCCTTTTTGAAGTTCCTGAAATTAACCAAATACACAGTATGCTCTGATTAGGCTTGGAACTGGCCTTGATTAGGATAAACATTCTGAATAGCCAGAAGTCATTTCAAAAGGTAGTTTTGCAAAATACTGTCTTTTCCATGCAATATATTGAAGTTTGGGGCTTTCTTTGTTTTGTTTTGTTTTGGTCTTTAGTGAAAAATAGGGAGTTAAAAGACTTGAATTCTTTTTTTTTTTTTTTTTCCTCAAAAGAGCATCAGTTATGCAAGGACCTGAGTGCTACTCGTGGTCAAATTCTAACTTTTTCATGGGATCGTGGAACAGATAACCTCTTTGGTTCATGTGATATCTATAATATGAAATAATTGGTTTAGATGTTTTGTAAGGTCTTTGTCATAAATAAGATTCTTTTATCCCAGAAATGAACATTTTTCTGTTTCATTACAGGTGGATGGGTTGGAGCTGAGATAGGGAACACCATTGAAAGATTTGATCCTGATGAAAATAAATGGGAAGTAGTTGGTAACATGGCTGTGTCACGCTACTACTTTGGGTGCTGTGAAATGCAAGGTAATCACTTTATAAAATATTTTTCCTCAAAATGTAGTTCTGAAAAACTTTGAGTTTGAGGCCTTATTTTCACAAAAGTATATTTTAGATCTGTTGGTATTGAATGACTGATACTAGCAGCATAGAAGTTCTGGTTTTTACCTCCTATCGTTGACTTTTATTTCTGTATTGCCAAAATAATTGATTTTTTCAAAATAAACAAGGCTATCATTAAAAATTGCAAGTAAGCAGGAATATCTGACTAGCACAATAAGCATTCGAGGTGTTATCTGTTATTGTCTTTTCTCTCCCATGAACATCTAAGTAAATATTTCTAAGTAGGGAGAGAGTATCAGAAACAATTTTGGGGCGTGGTGGCTCATGCCTATAATCCCAGCACTTTGGGAGGCTGAGGCAGTAGGATCATCTGAGGTTAGGAGTTCGAGACCAGCCTGGCCAATGTGGTGAAACCTCATTTCTACTAAAAATACAAAAATTAGCTGGGCACGGTACCACACTCCTGTAATCCCAGCGACTAGGGAGGCTGAGGCAGGATAATTGTTTGAACCCAGGAGGTGGAGGTTGCAGTGGGTGAGATGGTGCCACTGTACTGCAGCCTGGGTAACAGTGAAACTCTATCTCAAAAAATAAATAAAAATAAATTGTTTTCATGGTCTCTATAGGCTTCTTTAGCATTTTTTTCTACAAAGTACATTGTGATTCAGTTCACATAGCATATAATCCTGTGACAGATTTAAATAATTATATGTTGCATATTAAAGTGGTATACAAACATTATTTTGATTGTCTACTATACTCTGAGAGTTAGGTAGTAAGATGTTTTAACTAGAACCTGATTCTGTCTAGGATTGGAGAGCTGATTTATATGCACCTATGGAGAAGGAAGCAGCTTTCCCATTGTTATATGACAGCCTAATCTGCTCAACTTCTTTCTGCTTTGTGGTT